TGCGTGCTTAAAAATTATTGCTTTCTCTTGTGATTTGGTGCACAGTGTAGAAGCAGTAGCTGTTTGTCCAGTGATAGACTAACGTGCATTAGGAATTTCTAGGTGTTGGTTTGTGTTTTGCTTGATTATGGAAGAGTCAAGTCCTGAGAACACACAGCATTTCCATTCGCTGCTCTGTCTCTGCAAAATAAACATTCTCATCATAGCAGAAATAACATGGCATACTTAAAAAAAAAATGCCAGCAGTCCAGTGTTAGTTTTAATGGTTATAGATACATCTTCTTTTTCTGTATCTAATTCAGACACACAAAATGCAAAGATTTTTCCTAATACATTTCAGTTGCGTCTTCTGTTCACCAGTCCTGTTTGGCCCAGAGTGAGTGATGAGGAGGTAATCTTCTGTGTTTGGTAAAGTTTCATCATCGCTTACACTGTTCTATACTTAGTTTTCTGGGTTTAGGGAAGTAATTTTAGGTCATCAGCCGTTGTTTTTCTGATTACAGAAATAATCTTTATCCACTAATTACATATTTACACTCAGAAGTCAGAAAACAAGAATAGAAGTATGCTAGAAAAAAGAATTTGTGCAGTAGGAAGAAATCATAGATGTGTGCAACAGTCCTCCCCTGCTGTCTTGGCAAGTTCAGATTAGTAGACACAATTCCCTATAGGTCTGTATGTGAGATGTTGGTATCAAGACACCAAGCTGGGATAGGACGGGACCTCTGGAGGTCATCTAGTCCAGCCCCCTGCTCGAAGCAGGGTCACCTGGAGCAGATTGCTCAGGGCTGTGGCCAGTCAGAGTTTGCATATCTACAAGGATGGAGACTCTGCAACCTCTCTGGGCAACCTGTGCCAGCACATGGCCACCCTTACAATAGAAAAGACTTTTTCTCATGTTCAGAAAGAACCTCACAACCTTTAAAAAAACTCCAAGCGACTTTAACTTACTTTGGGAGCAACTTGATCCTTGCTGCTTTTTGATACAAACTGAAGAGCCATAAAACCTGATTAGTTTACATCTTATTGCTGGAGGTTTGCAAGAGATGTGGTTACTGTTCGCCCAGTGGCATGCTGCTTATTCTGGAAAAATTCCAGCTGTGGTTAATAAACATTTGCCAGGATAGAACCTACATTGTTTATTTTAATAATTTGAAGTAATTATAATATATTTGTTTACATTTAAGAATTTTTTTTTTCTTTTCTTTCTTTTTAAACTAGTGTTTACTTGATCTTCACGTACTCAGCATCCAGGTCTGTTTGCTGAGGGAGCCAGGGTCAGAGGATACACAGGAGTGTGTGGACTCTTTGTTTCGAGATACTTGCATAAAAGTCCTGGAACCATACAGGTAGATGAAAAGAGCACTAATCTGGATCAGGCCTAGAACAGTTTCAGGGAAATATGCATTTGGTTTTTTCCTTATTAGTCCTGGCATCTTGTCCTTACTAATGAAAAGAGATTAATATTTGACATACATAAGGGTCACAGGAAAGTGAGGTGGTGATTTGCTGCTTCTGCTAGAGCAATAATGCATTAATAGCCTAATCAGAAGTAATAAAATGATATTAACAGGCTGTGAATTTTTTTAGGTTAATAAGCAGGAACAGAGGAGTCTGTTTTTCAGTAAGTGTGGCACAGAGGCCAGCTGTTACTTATAAATGACATAATTCAAGCTGTAGCATGTGTGAAAATAAATAAATACACCCCTTGGTTTTCATCACCAGGCCTGCTATGTCTCCTCAAACATGGCGTTTGTTAACTACCACAAAGTCATTCTGCGTGATGTCGTGTCTTTACTGTCTGTATGTAAGGTCCAGCCACTGCTTAATAGTAATTTTGTCAACGTGCAAGGTGTTTGATAACAAAAAACATTGAAGAAATCAAATTCAATAACCGCACATCTGTGATGGATCCCTAATGCCTGTCTCGCTTTAGCTCAAGCTGTCGCCCTTGCAGCAGCTGCACTGCAGGAAGCTCTCCTTGCGGTCGTCGGCATGGGTGGTGCTGGGGGAGCTTAACCCTGGTTGAGATAGTGCCACTCTTCGCCTGGGTGAGAGCTGATGTTCCTGGCTTTAACAAAGTGAGCATTTTCTAGAAAATACCTCATTCTTTTGCCGTTGCCTCTGCAGCCTCAGCAAAAGCAGAGGTGGGATCACAGGTCTCTGCGTGTATTCTGGGCAACTCAGAAGTAGAATTGCCTACGGCTGGTGGGTCTGGACACTCCCACAAGAGTAAAGCGTGTTTAATAGAAAATGCTAAACTGGTTGTAGCTTGAAATATGGGTAGAATAGAGTTTTATGTTTCACTGTCATCCTGATATGTTGTGTGACTAAAAATTGGTTCTTTGAAGGAGTCCTAGGTAAATAAAACTGAGGTGAACCTTGAGCTCACTGTGGAGCAAATGCAGATCATTTGAGGTAATAAAGATTCATTGTACCCTTGCTGCCTTCTTGGATATCATTATAAAGTTAGGCATGAAGCTGCCCAAGCCCAAGGCTTTCCGACTGGTTTGTGATATAGCTGAGAACTATATAATTTGTGAAGTCATGACCCTGCTTTTCTTACCTCTCCCCGGTTGCCTTTGCTGGGTGATTAGCTCATGACTCATGCCTTGCGCTCCAGGGTGAAGTAATGCTTCCGGAGTTGTCTTTCGTCGGTATTTTGTAATCTGTTACTTATTGTCTTAAATACACCAGCTATATGTGTGTGTGCGTGTCTGTCTATCTGTATCGGGGTTTTCTTGTCTATAAAAAGAATCCTGTTGAGGTCTTTATGAGTACCCAGAATAAAACCATACAGTTTTCACTGTTGAGCTTTTTTATGCTCTAAGTCCTTTGCAGTTTCCTGCATTGGTTTATGTACATTACTGCATTATGCTTAAGTGTTAGATAACCACAGAAATGTCTGAAAAAGACAGAGGTCATGCCTCTGAAGCATTCTTTAGGTTTAGGGGTGCCTTTTCTCGTAGGGGAGATGATTATTCTGGGCTGGTGTTTTAGTCTGCTGCTCCCAGACTATCTGCAACCAAATACTTGTAGGTAAGCAAGCTCCAACTGATGCTTGACAGAGGAAATTTGTTTTGTCAGGAAACTGGCATGCTTAGCATGGATTTTTCTCAAAGTAATTTGAGGAAATTTAAAAGTTGGCAGAATTATCTGTTGTAATCATAGATGGTGGCCCTTCGTCATTATGGCAGCAGCACAGGCTGCAGAGGAACCTTAATCTCCTAGGCCAGTCAAAGCAGTGGGATGTAACCAAGCAGCAGCCTCACAGCAGCTTAGCAGAGAGCATGTGCATGTTCCTACTTTATAACCATATCAGAAACTGTGACTGCTTACTGTTACTTAAAATATATCAGATGACAGTTTGGGTTTTGTTCATAATTATGACGTCTGTGGGCTGTAACAGACTGCTCTCTTATATAGATGCCCTGCAAGTGATACTGTATGTGGAAATAATACTACTTGAGAGTGTCATCTAGGATGGTAGAATAAAAATGAACATCTTAAGTAATGAATATGTTTCTTCAAAAAACACAGCTATTTACAGTTAAAAAAACCCCAAACACCAAACTGCCATAACAATGTAATATGCTGTCGTGAAGGTGAAAGCAAAATTGCAGGAGACTCATTAATCTACATGACGTGAAGGCTTGAGTAAGAGAAGGGAGTGAAAAATAACAAGATATTAAATAACTTTCTCAGTCTGTGGCTTCACTTATGCTTTCTGAAGCATTTTTATCTTTCATTTTGAGTTTGAATTTGTCATGTTATACTGATTCCTTCAGGTGCAAAAGTTTTACTGATAACACAGAGCATTACAAGAGACAAAGCTCTTTCGACAGAGTATTGATGATGGTAGACTCTTGGCAGGGACATAAATGAGCAATTCATCTAGTCAGTGTTTAACTTTTATACTGTGTCTGTTGGACAAACACAAGATCACTTCAGCTGGTCTTTCAGAAAACAAAACCACATTGGCGATTCCAGAAAAAAACCAGCAGGGAGCACCTCTTGGTGTTGCAACTTGTTTATCACAAAGCATCAGGAGCTAATGTTGTGTATTTTTTTTCCTGTCCTGTAGGTACCTGAGATTATAAGCTCTATTCGACAAGCTGGAAAAATTGCTCGTCAAGAAGAGTTTCAGAATAATCTCTCGGATGTTGAAGACCCTTTTGCCAAAAAGTTTGAGGTGCTGTTCTGCGGACGGGTGACAGTAGCGCATAAAAATGCACCTCCAGCACTCATAGATGAATGCATTGAGAAATTCAATCGTGCAAGTTGTACAAAAAAATCAGATTTCACCTCTTCATCCCAACAACATGAAACTGCCAATAACTTTGGAGGCTTCTCTTTCAGCAACAAATTTCGGTCTGTCTTCCAGCCCTTGGTCAGTGGAGAAGAGGACAAAAGGCCAATTAGGAAATCCTATTCTCAGCCTGGGCTTCGTTCCTTTGCTTTTAAGAAGGATTTGCAAGAGGGAAGCCATAGGAGTAACAGCTTTGTCAGGTCTTTTGAAGAAGATGCAATTTCACTGAACCTAAAAAGTCAGCTTATCTATGGACACAGTGTTGTGCAGCCAACAGATATTGCAGAAAACCGGACCATGTTGTTTACGGTAAAGCAAGATTTGCAGTTCTTGGTGGCATTTTCACATCTTGGAATCTGGGGTGGCAAACACCCAAGCAGATGTTCTGACAGATGGCAGTTACTTCTGTAATAACTTAATTGCAATTACCAGAGCTTAACTTGTCTATTTCTGTAGAAAACATTACCAGTCAGTTGTTTTACGTAGTCAAAATAAGTTTATATTAAATCGTTTAAAACAGCTCTACCTGATACATTGGACTTCTAAAGACAGCTTTTAGAAAGCTACAGCGAGTTAGTAGTTGGTTATACTAACTATTATACAATTGCAAAACTGTATGTACAGTTACATGAACTAGTAACAGCAGAAATAAATTTGCAGGTGGATGAGTTACCTGTAACTAGAGCAGAAGGACCAAACTCTGACTGGGGGCTAGTAGACTTTGTCCCATGATAAGCAGCATAATTCATGAAGGTGTTCCTGCTGCCACCATATGTGTGTAACGATGGAGTAGTGCAGTAACTTGCTAGGCTACTCCACACCTGCCTGCACTCCTGTCCTGCTTTTGTGTGGCTGGCAATGCCTTTGCCTGGATAGGTGAGCAGCAAAAGTATTTTTCAAGACCCAAGAAACAAATATGGAATGTGTTATTTGCTCCTCTTATAACTTATCAGTCAGGAGGATTATAGAACATATTGTATAGATCTTGTATCTTACGGACATAATGCAAACCTGGAGCTGGTGTTGCGATGGCTGGCTATCAGAAGGTGTCAGCTGCTGCTGGGGCTGGGACTGCTTAAGGATAGCAACGGATGGGAGCGGGTGCAGTTACAGGAGGTTTTTTGAAAGGGAGAAAGAGAAAAGCTGCTGTAAGAAGGATTGTCAGTGTTATGTCTGTAGAAAGTAACACACAGAAAGAGGTGTAGTTAGCTATACCTGATTTAAAACTTCTGTTTGGTCATGGCAGGCTGGCATCAGAAATAGAAGTGGAAGAAAGTGGAGAGAAATTTTATGCCCCAGTAAAAACAATTCCGTGTTTACCTTCTTCCCCTGAGCATGTATTTCACACAGAAAATATAGATGCCTTTTATAATAATGCCTAATATTTAAACAAATCCTGACTCCATTATTAATTCATGGCATATGTTTTAGTGATAGGGTAGATTATAGATGGACTGCTTAGGTCCAGGTCCTCTTACTCCAGTGAGTGCATTTTTGGTTTATATTGAATAGATGCAAGAGTTCTCAAAGACACATGCAGCTTCAGCCTGAATATAGCATCAGTCACCTGCTGACAAGCTTATTTCCAAATTGGGGGGCTCTGCTGATGTGGCTTTCTATCTTTGGTTGCTTTTTGCCTGGAAAAATATTGTTTAGTGTGCACAGCTGTATTTTCTTGCCATTCAGCCAGTCTAAATTCAGCTGAATATAGGGAAGTGAAGTAAGTGTGGTGTGTGCCTCCGGTATCCACAAGCTAGCAGCTCATGGCAGAGCTGAGTGTGTTGGTTAGCTGTCTGCCTTGCTCAGCAGGTGCTGAGTAACCATATGCATGCAGCCTCCACAGGTCTTCACCTTTGCTCAGCAATTTGTGTGTGGCTGCATATGAAACGCTTAGAAGTAACGTTGTATCCAGATTTTCCTCAGGACTGCAGCAGAGGTTGGTTGGTGTATGACATGTGAAAAATGTTCGGAGGAATTATCTGCTTGACTCTCCTCACGTGGTTCAAACAGTCCCGGTTTTGCTCTCCCTTCCTGAAGAACTGCTTTCCTGGACAATTGCTTAGTATTTTGGGGTTTTTTATTTTTAGGCTCTTCAGGCTGTATTGGGGGACGAGGGGGTGGTTGTGTATTGGTTTGGTTTTTTTCCCTGGTTTAGTTGGCTTCAAACGATCCTGCTGCCCTGGAACCAAGTGTGAAGGGAGTATGTGGGGCTGAGCTAAGAAGCTGCAGAGAGGGAAAGAAAGCAGCAAGCAGAGGGAGGCTGCCGAGGTTGTTGGAAGGAATGACCCCGTGAACATGTGTGAGGTCAGCCCTGGGGACAATGGAAGGAAACCAGCAGGGAGCTGGGGAAAATCACTGTGAAAGAAGAGGTGGAAGGTGAATGCACAGGACTGTTTTTAGACACACAGAGGTGGCACAGCTCACTTGATCCATTCACACACAGGATTCCCCCCTTCCCCTTTCCGTAAGAAATTACTGGTGTGTTGGTGCTGCTGATGTTTTTATGTATGTCTTTTGGGATTTGGTAGTGGTTGAAGCTTCAGCAGGTTTCTCTAAGTTGTGCTCATGAATGGATCCAGATTCCACCCATCTTCGCTAAAATCTGATATGAGACTTATCCTTAGCAGACTTTCTGATGAGCTAGAAACTATGAAGAATTTAAATTTTAACTGTTAAAATGTTACAAAGATGTTACCAGAAGCAGAAAAAATTGAAAACAATAGTTTCACCTTAAAAATCCCCTTTGCCCATCAAAAGTCAGCGTCAGCTTTTGGGTCGCTGCTGTACAAGTGGCCTACAGATTACATTAAGTTAGAAGATATACTCCAGTAAGCTCATTTGTATAGTTTGAGTTAAAGCCTGTAAGTTAGATACTATGTGTGTCTTAAATAAATAAATAAACCCCTAAAAAATAATCAGGTGGGATACAGGTAGAGGCACGCACTTGGATTTAAATTTTAAGACAATTTCACTAAGTAGCTTTTGGGAGTGTGGTATGTGCCAAGACTGCAGAAAATAAGAAAAGGGAGTGCGTGTATATTTTCTCAGTGCGAAGTAAGTTGTTTGTGGTATAATATTACTCTCATCTAATTAAACACTATTTTCAGTCTCTTGTCTCAAATGTGAAACTGAATCTCAGTTCAGTAATGTGCAGAGCTCTGAATGCCAAATCAATATTGTTTCAGTATTCTCTCTTTTCTCTGGTAATAATACATTAATTACTCTAAATATACAGGTAGAAAAAGATTAGAGATTTACGTCCAGGAAACATTTTTATAGTGAGACAAAGGGAAGTGTAGTGTTACTTGTTATCATCTCGCTATTTATTTTGCTCTTTTTAGATTGGCCAGTCTGAAGTTTACCTTATCAGTCCCGATACAAAAAAAGTAGCAATTGAAAAAAGCTTTAAAGAGATATCCTTTTGTTCTCAGGTAAGATGCAGTGTATTCTTTCTGTCTTTTTCTGTGTAAATATTCTCCACTTGTGGATGCTCATGTAGTCCTCTCTCCTAGCATTTCAAATGGATTCTCACCCCAGCAGTTCCAGTAATTGCTATTGACAAGTTGCTAGTTAATCAGTAATTTTGTAAAACTGTCATTCTTTTCTCATGCTTTGCATTGTTATTTCTGAGATAAATACTCACTTCTGTGTGCGGTGGATGAATAATATGAGCTGGAACGAACACTCTGGTCAGCTCTGGTGTGAGATTTCAGCATGCATGATTCACAGCTGTGCAAATCTGGGATTCTCTGAGCCATATTTTTCAAGAAGTAATAATGAAAGGAGAAAAATTGTATGTAAGAGCTGAAAAATACTTCAAAAATACATTTGTTTTCAAGAGTACAAGTTGCATGTGTGTAACAGAAGACTGACACTCAGAAGTAGTGTGTGTGATGCACTGAGGGCAAGCACATTTTGGAGTCTCCTCATTCTCTATTAACCCGTGTTTCTTGTGCTACAGAGTTTGGTTCCCTGTCCTCCTGCATCTCATTTTCATGGTTCTGACTTTGAGTTTGCATAAATTGCACCCTTGTGTAATCTATCTAATGACTTAACTTTAAGTGGTGGTGTTTTGAAAGAGATGGAGCTTACGCATGTGACGATGCGGTAACGGCGTTGCGCAGGTGACACGGGCGTCTGATTCACACTCAGCCACTGCAGCGGCTCAGCAGGGTGAGGGCAGAACAGTCACTGTCACATCAAGGACATGGGACAACTCGGGCAATTGCAGCGCTCCTGTATGAGCGGCTGCCCAAACTGCTGCCGGGTCCTGCGTATGGGAGCAGAGGACTCTCCTTTGAGTGTTGCTCAGATATCAACCTGCAGACTGAAATGGCTGTTCATAAAGACATTTCATAGGCCAGTTGCTTTTGTTAACTAACAGGTGTCACGATGCGGGATTTGTCTTTCCC